CGAGTGAGGAGCTTGGGGGGGGGAGGAAATGGATATATGGGGGGGGGGGATGCGTGGGCTTGCGTGTATGCATATTTAAATGTATCGGCTTGTCGGAGCCAAGAGCCAACCACCGTTTTCCCCCCTTCCCGACAAGCACCCCTGCGGCCCTAAAACCCTAAATAAAACCGGCCCGGTGGGGGCCAGAGGAGGAGGAGGAGGAGGAGGGAAGAGGAAGGGCCGGATACCCTGTCGCACGTTATCCGCCTCCCCCGCCACGGCATCCCCAAACCCACCGCTTTTTGTCCTACACCTTCCCAAACCCATACCCGCCTGCCGGGTCCCCACGCCTCCTGCTCCTCTCCTCCTCCCTTTCAGACCCGTAAGCGGCAGGAGGTTGAGCAGCGCATGCTCGAGCACGAGGTGGAGAGGTTGCAGCTGCTGGAGGAAGAGCGAAGAGAGCGGGAGAAGGCGGAGCAGGTGGGGGTTGGGGAGGGGGGGAGGAGGGTGTAGCTGCGCGTGTATGTATGATGTGTGAAACAGGGGGGTGTATCTTCGCCCGTGGCAGCTACCCTGCGAAACCCTGCCTTCTCCGGTATTTCGGGGCACCCTCATCCAGTCACCCTAGTCAACTTCTCAGTGGATCGCTCAGGTTCCGCACCCACCACCAGCATCCAACGGAATCTGCCGGGTCGACAGCGGCCCAACTCCATTCCTGGTCGGCTCGCAGGTTAACTTTATCCCAGGTCACCACCGTCCATCAACTAGGGGCGCAATACCTTCCACCATCGGAAGGATTTTTGACGGGATCTCCCGGGGGCAATGGTCGCGCGTTACCAGTAGTGCCAAACCCTATGTATGTATGTATGTATGTATACACTTGTGCCTGTCGGAAGGATGTAAAAAACGGGGCGCCCTGCCCACAACCCCAGGACGCGATAAGCTATAGGAATCTCCCCCCCTCCCCCCCCTGGTGTTCTTGATTCTTCCTTGTGCAGATCGCTCGTGTGAACGCGGCCCAGAGGGACCAGATCAAGCGAGCCCTGTTCGCCGCCATGGAGGAGAAGGCGGCGGCCAAGGCAGCGGCGGTGGAGGAGGAAATGCGTTACAACCGGGAATACATCAAGAAGATGGGTAAGGGGGGGTCTGGGACCGGGGGGAACTTGAGGGGGAGAACCACGAGGGACGGACGGACCGACAGACGCACCACCTTCCCCCTTTCTTCCCCCGAATGACCCGCATCCCCTCAGAGGCGGACGAGGCGGCTCGGAGGCAGGCGGTGGCCAAGCGGCAGGAGAAGATGCGGCAGGCGTTTGAGCGAGGAGGTGGCGACGCACTGCAGGTGGGCGGTCTCTCAAGGCGGGGGCTGGGGTGTGGGTTTGCGGGCAGCCCGGGAGGCCGCGGCTGCTGGGATCAACACCTTCTTACCCTCGCCCTCCCCCACCACACCCTCAACTCCCCCAAACCCTCCTCTCAGGCCTCCCTGGAAGAGCAGGAGCGCGTGGAGGCCGCGCGGGCCGCCCGACTGGCCGCGGAGCTGGAGGCTAAGACCCTGGAGAGGGAGAGGTTGGACCAGGAGAGGCGGAAAAAGATGGCGGAGGCGGCGATGAGGGAGTTGGACGAGCAGGTAGCGGCGCGGGAAGCGGAACGGCGGGCTGCGGCGGCGGAGGAGGAGCGGGGTCGGCGGGAGCAGCGGCGGGCGGAAGCGGAAGCCCGGCGGCAGCGGGAGGAGGAGAAGGCGGCACGGCGGCGGGCGCAGTCGGAGGCACGCGAGGCGCAGAAGGCGGCGTTGGCTGAGGAGCACCGGCGGCGTTATCATGAATACCGAGAGTGAGTGTGGAGTGGGGGAAAGAGGAGAGCAAGGGCGGGGGTTTGTATTGTGAGACATCTCCACCCACATCACCCCACCCACATCACCCCGCCCACATCCCCGCTTCCTCAGGCCATTCGAGGACCGGTACCGGTGGCTCCATGCGGGGGTGCTCTCGGGGACACAACGCGCGTTCAACAACCTGGCGGTGCCTGAGGGGAAGGCGGCGGTGCTGGCCAGCTTGGAGTTATAGCTGCCGACCTACTAGCTGGATCCAGTACCTACCTACCTGCCTGCCTGCCTACATACCTACCTGCCAGCCTGCCTGCCTGGGCCCGGTGTTTGGCTGCATATTTTTTTCCCCGCTCTGTGCCTTGGGGGCCCCATAGGAGGTTGGGATTGCACGACAGTCAGCGGCTGACAGCCTGACGCACTGTAACGCATCAGTGGCTCACACTTTGGGTGTACATGTATGTATGTATGTATGTATGTATGTATGTATGTATGTATGTATGTATGTATGTATGTATGTATGTATGTATGTACGTATGTATGCTCGCATGCTGTGTATCCATATGCCTGTACATGTATGCTTTAAACAATAGAACGATTGATCAAAGGGAACGCCGTGCTAACACCGTCAGAACATGTCTGTATGTATTTCTGTCATCATGTGCCATCATGTCTGCTTTGGATTTAAACATCGTGTGTAGGTAGGTCGTGCTCCTGGTAGAGGTGATAATAGTGGTGGGGGGTCGGTCCTGGTGGGGTTGGGTTGGGGTTGCGTAGTGGCGTGTATACACACGTACCCGTACACATCGCCGTACCTATGATGGTACAGGAATAAAGGAGCAACAGACGGACAGGGGGATCTCCCCCGGGGACCTAGGGACTCGGTCGCTTCCCGGACAACACGGGGGTTTCGTCGTCCAGATGGGGTATGTGGGCGGGGATGTGGTTGGTTCGGAGAGCTGTATCTGGGGAGTGATAGGGGTGTTTTTTTTTCTGACACGTGTTGTGTTGGGTTGGGTGCTGCGGCGCGGGGTGTAGACCGGGGAGGAGAGTTGTGGGCGCTGTGGGCAGTTCTGCGAGTGCGCTGTCGGCATGGGCGCGGTGGGGTTGGGGGGAAGGCATTCTGGAAGATCTGAATGAGTGAAGTGTGTGCGTGTGTGTATGTGTGTATGTGGCATTGCTTGCATTACACGCAGAAGATGAGCAAGTGTGTTAAGGAGGATTACGGTAAGCAAGGGGCCAGGCTGACTGATTGACTGACAGGTCGGCAGGCAGGCAGGCAGGCTGGCTGGCTGGCTGGCTGGAAAACGCCAGTCCAGATGCGACAGGCGTTTACTACATTTCTAACATTATATTGCCTAACTGCGCAAGTATTGCACAGGTCGGGGAGTCCAGGGATCCGGACTGGGAAGTTGTGTGAGTTGTGCGGGGTGGAGTGGGGGGAAAGGCTGCTACGACAGCCGCCCTCAACACCCCAGCAGGGATGGGGGAGAAGGAGGTTGGGGAGCTGTTCCTTCCGTTGTTGAGGGCTGTGAGCTGAGTTGAGGTTGCCCGGCAGGTTGACTGTTGTGTTGGTTGGGATCGTGGTTGGGAGTTTGGGCTTCGGGGGCAGACAGCAAAATGACAGATGTCCGAAGAACGAATGAATGCGCTTCGACACATTATGAATTGTGACATGTTCTGGTAATAGGCGGAAACTGTTGTAGGTACGGCAGCCGTGTAGTTTGTAGTACAGGGCCTAGCGTACTGCTATTACATATGTCGTGGCCGTGAATCCTCCATGCATGGCTACGGGGCATTCATGCTACCTTGAGCTGGAAACAGGCGCCTAGGGGGAACTGGACAGATGAATGAGTGGGTTGAGTGAGTGAGGGGTTGGGTGTGCGTGAAAGGAACGAGCGTTAGAGCAGAAGCGGTTAGGACAGCGGACGGAGTTGGGGCTGCAAGCTGCAGGGCTGCAGGGATATGCCGGGCGGCGTGTTTGCATGCGGATGGGCAAGGGCGGGTCGCAACAAACATCAGGTGTGTGTTACTGAGGACCATCTATTGCACGTTGGGGAATCCCATGCAGTAGAGCAAACCGCTTACAATGCTGGGTTAGTTGGGCGTAAGGCCCAGTGCGTATCAGTTAGACCGACTGTTTCGCAACGGCCCATGTCCTCAGAGCCATCATTTATTGCGCGCATTAAGCTGGTAAGCTTTCTTGTTTTTTGTTGTTCAGCGCTCCCCCCCCCGTCCGCCCGTTCTCGGTGCAGCCCGCGTTAGTTCAGTTGCGGTTTTTTTTGTTGTTCGTAAGGCCCGTCTTCTTCGGGCCTCTTCGGGAAGCTCGTCAACTAACTACATAACATGACACGGTCCTTTCCTCTCTTCCATTATATGTAACAAAAAATGGCGGGTGGCATTTGTCTCTGAAGCAACACCTAATGCGCTGAGGGTACTGCAGTGCCAAGTTCACTGCGCATTCCACTCACGTCTTATAGTATGTAACGGGACAACGAACGACTACCCAGCCTGTCTTATATTATACTGGAGAACATGAGAAATGTGGGCAGGGCCCTGCGTGCCTCGGTGCTCGCTTGGGCGTCGTCCGTATAGAAGTTAAAAATTTAGTAAGCGATGCGAGGCCAGGTCTTGAAATGTGACTGAAGTTCATCGACTAGAAAATTTCCGCTTACGTACAGCATACTTCCGTCAGTTGGTTGCATCTCAAAATTCCGGTCAGTACGGCTAATCCTAGCGCCCTGATTCCTAACAGCCTCGAGATTTGAGCAATAAAGGTTTTTCTTTGGCCTTAATGGGCTTCTCCTGAAGAGATCGACCTAGGAATCATTGGTTTAAGGAACGCTTGACGCGAATTTCGATATAACAGCAGGGACGCGGCACATGTACCTTTCCTCACTGCTTGTGCAAAACATTCATACTTCTATTAAGTTAGAGTAACAAACCCTAAAGTAACTCAGCTGGATAATTCCGAGAAACACTTGCCGTATTACTTGCGTTTCACCGTACTGCCGGTGCAGCTGGGCGATACGCAGGGATGCATTTGGTAGGGTTACTTGTCTGTAACTTACTGCTTCGGCAAGAAGTAGTAGAATTACATGATGTATATGTTGATCTTAAGCTTACATCGTTCCGTCGTCCAACTCTTCCTCCTTTGGGAATTTTTTTTTGAAGAGCACTGACCCATGTTACCATAGGGGTTAAAGCATGCACCTTCCGCCCGAATATGATATTTCGTCGCTTGCTCGGCGGGTGCTTTAAGAGTGACGAAGTTGAGTTGGTGTCCAGGCGCAAGGACTACGTCTCACAATTCTCAAGCGATGTACCTGATGGTTACGTATCCAGCTCCATTAAGTTCGGAGGTGAGACGGAAATTCATAACAGTTATTTTCTCGACGGCACCTATCTTGTCATACCAATTTTCCTTCTTTGCTTGCTTCTGTGATTACATATTGCATATTATTGAATCCTTAAAGAAGTACCTCAACCCATTTGCAGCGAGCACCGATGAGGAAGTCGCTGGGCAGGAGGTCCTTCCTACAGTGCACCAAGGCGCGCTTCGTGAAATCCTAAAGCGTTATAAGGGACCTGCAGCTGCAGCGGCTTGCATTTTTGAGGATTGTCCGGCCGAGCTACGTGGTAACCTGTCGGGGCTCCGAACCATATGGACTTCTGCGTACACCTGTAGTGATTATGGAACTGATAGACCAGCTTTAAGGGAGGCCTTGGCCACTTATCAGTCACTGGTCAAAGACCTGCAGTGCCTCACGGCACACGATGTTGCCATCCTGGCTGGGGTCGAGGAGGCGGCAAGGTACGAGGTGAAGAGATGGCATGCATGATAGCACAGCGATCATATGCACATGGGTGGATTGCTGGTACGCAACATCTGCACCACAGGATTGGCAAAATACAAGAGGGGGAATTTCGAGACTGGGTGCAAAGTAGGTCCCCAAGGCGCCATAAAGCCCTCAGCCCTAAGAGAACCGCCTCAGCTTAGGCTCCACGGACTGGGGATTGGGGCAGCGAGTGGCGACGAGTATACCTAGGGCCCTTGAATCGGCTACTTTGTTTTTGAGCCCCGTCGAAACGCTCGCGCAGGTGCGCTGCAAAGCAGCAGTACTGCAACGTACGACAGCGAGTATGGCTAGATGGGAATGCCGCCACAACGGCCTGGCCTGGAACCAGGGCCCATTCTGCTACCGATGCGATCTTGCAGGTAATAAAAAGCCAGCTGCCAGCTCCTCTTGCTTACAAGAGCTTTCGCATCGTCGTGCTGCCTGCCCAATTTAATTCACTACCGCGCATAAGGGATATACATGCCATGTGTATCATGTTGTCCTGATCCCGATGTATGTATGATGATTCGATAACCGAAAAAAAGAAGATAAGCACAAGGCCCCTCCCTTCTTGCTTGTATGATGCGCTGTGCCGTTTGCACAGTCATCCGGCTGCGGATTCGATTGCGAGGATTGCGATCAAGGCATGAACCCGCACACCAGCGACATAGCATGGTCCACCCTCCCTATCCCTGGCGCTCTCCCCCCATGCCCTGTGCCCTGCCCTGTGCCCTGCCCTGTGTAAACCCTCCCCCGATGGCCTCCCCTTCCTGCGCATCCTGATCTCCCTGAACCCGCCTTTTGGAAATGCCCAAGCTGGCATTTGCGTAACCCTCCCTGTCTTGAACTGGACTCGTTCTTTCGCGGCACAAGTCTTTCCTAAGGCCCGCCCACAGGTATCTCTCGAACCCGCAAACCATCCATCACACATGAGCCGCATCCCACTGCCTCTCCGGCGTGACCTGACCTGACCGCAGAGATTCCGGACTGCTGTGTTAGTTAGTGCCTCTCCCCTCCTCTCCTCCTGCCTTCCCTCCGCCCTCCCTTTGCTCCGTCCCAACTGTCTTTTGTCTGGACTCTCCTCTCCCGCACTCGCTACACCTGGCGCAGGTGGGTTCATGCATGCTGGACGTAGGCGGCGGCAAGTGCCGCCCCGGCGTCATCCTTGTCATCCGATTGCTAGGCGCGTCTGCCCCTCTGGCTGCTGCTGCTGCTGCTGCTGCTGCTGCTGCTGCCGGCAGCGGCGACGGCTGTCCTTTCCCAACAGCCGACACAGATGCTGTAAGAGGCGACGGCCCTACGTTGCAGCCGGCACGCTCCCTACACTCCCAACGTGTACTGAGCTCTGGCTCCTTCACTCGGGGCATATCGCCACCGTCACCGCGCTCGCCGCCACCGCAGCTGCCTCCGCCAGGCACACCGGGCTTTGGCGGCACCGCCGGCGCCCGGCTGCATGCGCGGGCGCCTTCGCATGCTGCCGTCGCTGGAGGTGCTGCTGACGCGGGCAGCGCCCCTGTCCTTGGCAGTGTCCCAAGCTGTTCGCCGCGTAGGAGTATGGAGGATACAGTGCTGGCTGCCCGGGCGCTGGCCGCGGAGTCCATACCGGCTATGGTGATGGCGTTCTCCTTTGGCCGGTAAGTGGGCCGGTGGATGTGGGTTTGTATGTCTGTGTGCGTGCGTGAATGAGTGAGTAAGCGGATACGCATGCGAACGTGTTTATATACCCATGCGGTCCGTTGCGCAACGGCAGTACTCAGCGCTGAGCGCGCTCTCGCCCTGCGATGCGAAAAAGCGGGTTGGGTTGGGTCATCGTCCTGTAAGCGTTGCTGTTGATGTGGGTCAACCGCGGTTGAGTCTGTCCATCCGGCATCCACGATCCCGGAGATTTGGATCTGGATCTGGATCGCCTGGTGGGCAGGTCAGCGCAGGACAAGCTGCAGGGCCACGCACTTGGCCTGGCCCCAAGGACTCCTGGCGGGGAGGGGGATGTCCACCATTGATGCCCCTCGTTTATTTCCCCGAGCCCTTGGGATATTGGGAGGGGTTGTTTGTGTATGGGCAGCGCGCCATGGAAAGCTGCCACCCAGAGCAGATTTCTGTGCAAATCGTTATTAGAGAGCGGATATGAATGATGCAGGATGATATGAATATGAATACTTCTTGGCCGGCTGTGCTGGCAGCGCACAGACATCGTGTGGTACCGCAGACAACGGGCCATGCAACCGGGCCATGCACTGGTTTAACAATGCTTGCACACGGCACTGTCGTGTTGCGCTGTCTGCGGTAGATAGAACGTCCCGAAAGTCGCGTGGGAGCGTAGGTAAGTGGTTGGGTGAGTGGTTGGGTAAGTAGGCGGCTGGACTGATAGGTTGTGGAGAGGCGAAAATAGCCCCCTCCCCAAAGCCCACTTTCCATTCACTCACCAGCTGATCACTCCTCGTCTCCCTGCTCCCTCCGTGCCCCACGCACGCACGCACGTACGCACGTATCTATGTCCAGAGGAGGTGAAGGAGGCGGAGGCAGGGACAGGGGCTCAATCATCTACGTGAACCAGCTGGCGCGGAGCTACCTGGTGAGACGGGGTTGGGCACCATTCAAGGGCTCTTTCCTTGGCAAGAGAGTTGATCAAGGTTTGAGAGCTTAATGAGAGTGAGGGTATCGTGTAGTGGGCAGGAGCTAGGGGATGTGGCGTCAAGGTCCTACACCGGGGTAGTGGGAGATGCGGCCATGTGCACCCGGCGGTCACCATGTGCACCCGGCGGTCACCATGTGCACCGGCGGTCACCATGTGCACCTGGCGGTCACCATGTGCACCCGGCGGTCACCATGTGCACCGGCGGTCACCATGTGCACCGGCGGTCACCATGTGCACCGGCGGTCACCATGTGCACCTGGCGGTCACCATGTGCACCGGCGGTCACCATGTGCACCGGCGGTCACCATGTGCACCCGGCGGTCACCATGTGCACCGGCGGTCACCATGTGCACCGGCGGTCACCATGTGCACCGGCGGTCACCATGTGCACCGGCGGTCACCATGTGCACCCGGCGGTCACCATGTGCACCCGGCGGTCACCATGTGCACCGGCGGTCACCATGTGCACCGGCGGTCACCATGTGCACCGGCGGTCACCATGTGCACCGGCGGTCACCATGTGCACCGGCGGTCACCATGTGCACCGGCGGTCACCATGTGCACCCGGCGGTCACCATGTGCACCCGGCGGTCACCATGTGCACCGGCGGTCACCATGTGCACCCGGCGGTCACCATGTGCACCTGGCGGTCACCATGTGCACCCGGCGGTCACCATGTGCACCCGGCGGTCACCATGTGCACCCGGCGGACGCTGACAATGGGGACTGTAGTCCCGGAAAGGGAACATGTCGAGGGGGAAACATCGAACGCGCTCTCTAATAATGATCGTCCTGGTGGAAGTCCTGGTGATAGCGGCGGTCGTGACATCGTTCGCTGCTGGACGGGTCAACAACCAACTGAAGTGTACGGCTGTACACTCCCGTATGCTCTACATCTCACACGGTACAAACAGCCCGGCAGCAAAGGATCTGACGGCTGCTCGGCATCCTGACTTGCTTCACCTCACCTCACCTCACTTCACCTCACTTCGCTTTACGTCCGGAGTTCGGTCTGACTTTGTTGTGACTTGCACCAGCCCACGTGTCCTCATGGGCCGCCAACAGCAAGTGTGTGCCTTTCCCCTTTCCGCCAACATCATTGCTCCCCCCCCCGGCTGCAGAACATGCCTCCCGCCGCAGATGCCCTCGGCCTCGCAGCTGCAGCCGCGAGGGCCAGGGGCTCGGGCTTGGGTGGCCGGGGCGGAATGGGGCCTGGTGACTGGGGAGCATCGTCCGGCGGCTGGTGGCTTTCGCAGCTGGATGTGCGGCTGCTGTTAAGTGAGCTGCTGGCGGGTACGGGGCGCAGCTTGGAGGAACTCATAGGCGAGGCGGCGCAATCACAGGTGATGGAGGTTCCGTTTTGGGAGCTGGTTGTACACGGTAATTGTGCATGGTAAGGGATGGAAGGTAGGGGTGCGAGCCGGGGCCATGCGGGGAGCTAGGTAAGGACCTCAACACCATCAACACCGGCAGTGGAACTCCTCCTCCCCCCTCCCTGCCCATCCGTGCCCTGGACTGCACTGCCCCGCTCGCCGCCCTCGCCGTTATCCCCCCTGCACTCGCTCCTTGTGCCTGCAGGGCTTCTCAGCAACGATCAAGGCCCCGGCCGCTATGGACGTTTTCGCCCTGGCAAGCAGCTGCACCGCAGGCCTCCACTGCGGGTCACCGGGAACAGGCGTGTGTCGGTCTCCGGACCTGGCGGCGTCAGGACCGGACAGCATGTATCGGGGAGGAGGCGGCGCGGCGCGGCATCGGCTGCTCATGAACGGCATAGCCGAGTGCGACGAGGCGGAGCCGCAGGGTGCGTGGCCGGGTCTCTTCCCTTCCCTTTCAAAGTCTCCGTCTTGCCCCGTCTTACCTATGTAGCTCCACTTTGTGCCCCTACCCGCGTATCTGCTTGGCAGAGCCGATGGAAGACGAACCTGAGGGCGCCGACGGCGGCATTGGAGACGGTGGCGGCGACAAGGGTGAAGCGGTTGTTGGCACCGGTGGCGGTGCTCGGGAGAGCAGTGGGCCCCTCTCTGGTCGGTGTTCGGGTCCGGATCTGTCGGTGGCGCTACCAGTGGGTCCGAAGGTCACAGGCTTGCCCACCCTGGAGCGAGAGTCCTTCATATGTGAACTGGAGAGCCAGGTGCGTGTGTCTGTATATATATATATGTGTGTGTGTGTGTGTGTGTGTGTTACACATCAATCCGGGCGTGGCGCTGGCCAGGGGCACCTAACCGTACCCCTAGCGGGGGTACGAGAGGGGCGTGGGGGCCCACTTTCCCCTCCTGCTCGACCGAGGCGCGCGGCCCTGAGTTCCTACCTCATGTAATCGGATTGTGTATGTTTGTGTGTGTGTTTGTGTGTGTGTTTGTGTGTGTGTGGCTGTGGCTGTGGTGTGTGTTTCTAATTCCCTCCAACGCTTGCGTATGGTTGTGCTTAATTCATCCATTACCCTAATGAGCCTGGGACCTTGGTTTATTTCAAATTATTTCGAAAGCCGCTGTTGCCCAACGAGGATCCACAACACGTTCTCGTAATGACGCTGGTGCTGACATAGCATACATCGTAATAGGCCGACATTGTCTTATTTGCCAGATTTGGTGTTAAGTCTGGCAGTGTGGCATGTCTGTTATGAAGCCCACTTTGCTGCAGCTTCCCTCCTCCCTCCAGAGCCTGAAGCACTTCGCTTCCTCCAGACGCGCCAGTGCATGTCTTCTCCGGGTTTAGGACTCACGGATTTTGTATCCAGCGGCATCTTGCATCAGCGAAACCCTGCTTACAAAGGCACATGTCGCGGCCATGTAGTACATGTTGCTTCGAGTTCAGACTCACCTCACCTCACCTCACCTCACCTCACCTCACCTCACCTCACCTCACCTCACCTCACCTCACCTCACCTCACCTCACCTCACCTCACCTCACCTCACCTCACCTCACCTCACCTCACCTCACCTCACCCCACCCCACCTCATCTCACCTGGTGGACACGTCACCTTACTTATTCGACGGTGCTTCAAGCCGCCCTGACCCTTGACCACTCTCCTCCTCTTTCTCCCCTTCTCCCCCACCTCGTCGCCCGCGTCCTCTGCAGCCCACCCAAGCGCCGCCCGTGGGGCCCCGCCTGCCCTCCTTCTGCCTGCGGACTCCCTTCCAACGACTAAGCAGTGTTGGCTCTTCCGTCGGCCAGGGTCTGGCTCCGGGTCTGGGTCTGGGTCTGGGTCAGGGTATGTCCAGTCGCGCGGAAAGTTTCACACAGCCCCTCAGCCTCATAGACAGCACTTGCGTGATGCAGTCGGCAGCCGCAGCTGCAGGTACCGCCGGCACCGCCGTCGCCTCCTCGTCCTTCACCTACGGCCAAGGGCTCGCATTTCCGCCGGAGGTGCTGCGCCAGCGCCTGGCGGCAGCCGCAGCGGCTGCGGCTGCGCAGGAGGAGAATTCGGACCAGGTCTTATTGGACCGCCTGGCCTTGACCACCGTGCCCCGCCAGGCGCGTGACGTGAGCTTTCAGCGCACGTCGTCCTCTCAGCATAAGGCCACCAGCGTAGCGACACTGCACGCGTTTTCTGTTGCTGCTTTGGGCTTGGACGGTGCTCCAGAGCAGCAGCGGACAGCAAGCGGCTCCACGGCTCCCCAGTTCGGGTTGCCACTGGCGCAATCAGCTGCGATGGCGGCCGGGTTCGGCACGCTTCGGCATCGGCAGCAGCAAGGACTGCAGGAAGCGGGGAATGTAGGCAGTGGCAGTGGCAGCGGCCGTGGCCGTGGCTGCGGCACAGACCCCGGCTTCAGCAGCGGCAGGCCATCCGTCGGCTGTTGCGTTGAGTCCCCGATCCCGCTGCATCGGCGCTTCTCGCCCTTTGCAAACGTCAGCAGCATGCCGGTACTTGATGATAATACCTCTCCAAGGTCGCTTGGCACACCGCAGATGCATCGCTGGCTAAGCATGGAAGAGGCGCCGACGGCGGCGCCGATGACTCCTGTGCGGCAGATGCCGTCTCGTGCGGCAGGGGCCGTCGCTGGCGGTGGCGCAGTCAGCATTGCAACAGGGGCGACGCCGTCGCCGCCCATGTCCGGCAATGGTGCTGGCACGAGCTCTGGGCTGGGTGGCCGCAGCCGGCGGCCGCTGCGCCGCGTCGCGACTACCGCAGGTGCAGAGCTGAGCGCGCGCCTCGCAGCGCTGGACCGCAGCGGCAGCGGCTTAATGCGGGCGAAGCTTACGGGTGGTTCCTTCTCGGGGCCGCAGGGACTACCGGCGCCTGGGCGTATTACGGCAGCGCACACCGCTGCTGCCACTGCCATCTTGGAATGCCGGCCTCCCCAAGGGAGCCCCGACCTGCAGCCCTACGAAAGAGTCCCAGGAGAAAGAGTCCACAACGCGCGGCACCGCCTCATTGCCGCTGCAGCGGGGACAGTGACAGGGGATGAGACCCGTGGGTCGTCAGGGCCCGGAAGGGCTGAGTCATACACGGCTGGGGGAGCTCTCGCAGGAAGGGACTCAGGTCCTGAGAAAGTGCCTAGGATGGCTGATCCCGGTTTGCAAGGTGCAGGTCAGCAGCTGGGAAGGACGCCGCGGCCAACATCGCTCCCGACGGCGCCGCGGGACGAGGACCCGGCGGGCAGTGTGGAGGGGGCGACGACGGTGACGGCGACGGACTGCGGCTCCGCTGCCGGCTACCTTAGTCCCTGGGCCCTGCACAGCACCGACTCGGCGCAGGCGGCGTCAAGCTCGATGCTCCCGTATCAGGGGGTGCCCTTCCGGGGGGTCACCGCGGGGGCCTCATCTGCCTCTCAAATGGTGTCTGTGCCGCCCCTGTTGTACGCGTCGGGCCTGTCATCGGGGCCGGGTGCGCGCGACGTGATTCGAACCCCGCCACTTCGTGTCGTGCGGACCGCCCAGCAAATGGGGGAGATCGGCAGCGGCCTTACTTTTACGGAGGCCGTCAGCCAGGCGGTTTACGGCGCGGCAGTCAGAGAGGCAGCGCAAGCGGCAGCTGTAGAGGCGGTAGCGGTGGCGGTGGCAGTCCGTGGCGGAAGGCGGCAACAGGAGGATGGGGATGGCGGCTGCAGCAGTAGCTGCGGCGTCGGTACGGAGGGCAGCGAGGCTGCGGTGGGCGTGCACTTGCCGTCGCCATCGTCGCCACTGTCCGGGAATGTCCAGGCGAGTAAGGCGGCTGATGATAGCGTCGCCACCGCTGCCGCCACGCAGGCGGCCAACATCACCACGGCAGCTGCAGCCGCTGCGATAGCGCCAGCTGCTGCTGTTGCTGCTGTTTCTCCTGCTGAGCAGTATCAATGCGATGGTCACAGCCAGCGGCTGCAGCCGCCTTGGTTACGCTGCGGCAGCACCAGCTGGATGCCACTGTACTCTGTGTCTACAGAAGGACTCAGCGGAAAAAGCTATGGCCAGGGTCAAGGACATGTACAGAAGGAGGTGCGGAGAGGGCTGAGCCACAGCTTCAGCCACGGCTTTGGCCACAGCCCACTCGCCAGTCAGGGCCATCAGCTGTCCCCTTTGGCAATTGCCAGTGTGGCCTGCCTGCCTGGCGATCGCGCTGGCAGCGGGCCCAGCGACGGCGGTGGC